GGCTGCCGGCAGGAAATGTTCCAGAATAAGAATGGCGGTAACTTTTAGAAGAAGCCGCATCCGTAAGGCTTACTCAATCTTTCATTAACTCATTTTGCAAAGCTTGCCAGCCACTCTCGATGGGCTGGATACAGTGTTGGCAAGACTGGGAAATCAGTGTGGGTTGTCTTCGTTGCCACAAGGTTCCCTCTTCTTCACCACTGGGGCCACTCCTCTTCCCATAGACACTGTCTGCCCTTCTCTTCACCCTGCATCTCACTAGGAGGCAACTGCAAGGCTGGTGGATGGATCCAGGCAATTGTGCTTAGAATCTCTGTGACTGTAGTTGATGAGATGCAGTTCTTTCTTTCTAGGACTATTAAGAAAAGACGCCTGGGTGGCTCAGTCAGTTGGGTGTCTGACTCTTGATTTTGGCTCAGGTCATGATCTTGCAGTTGGTGGGATGGAGCCCTGTGTCAGGCTCCGCGCTGACAGCATGGAGCCTGCTTGGGATTCTCTCACCCCCCTCTCTCTCTCTGCCCCTCCCCTGCTTGTGCTTACTTTCTCTCCCTCTCAAAATAAATAAATATAAAAAAAAGAGGAAAAGACACGTTCCTGCCTTTATTTGTGCAGTTACCTGGAATCCCCTTTACGTCTATCTCCATCAACCTATATCCCACACATCCCTCAAGACCCAGATTCTCTGTGGGCTTCGCCTTTGTCACCTTCTCTATGAAGTCTTCCCACTTCTCGTGATTAGAATTGTTCTCTTTGTCTTCTGTGTTCCCCCGGCTCTTTGTGTCTCTGTAACGGTGCTAACAACAGTCTGCCTCGTATTCCAATTATGTGTGTAGTTCTGACTCGCTTATTATGCTGGCAATTCTGAAAGCAGGAGCCTTTCATTGTGACCGACTATATCTCTCACAGAGTCCCTTTGCCATAGTTAAGTGCTTCATGAATGAATATTAGTGGAGTTGAACTTTCAGTGAAAATATTTTGCATGTTGAAAGCGAGTCTCATACATATACAAGACCTTGCTTCTGAGATAACATTTCTCTCTGCACAATTAGATCATGAAATGTAGAGTCTACTCTACAAGAACTAACCGCCAGCATCTGTAACATGTGGAGAATTTAATTAAGCTTAAATCAAGCCACGGAGTGAATTTGCCATTCGCAGCTAATATATCTGCTGGTTTGTTTTTTTTTTTTTAAAGGAAGAACATTGAGTTAATGGTTCAATGTTAATATGAGTTGATTTTATTGATTTTGTGCGGGCAGTTCATTAATTACAAAGACAGGCATTATGATCTTGTGCTCTCGTCCCTGACTTAAAGGCCCGAGTGTGAGTCGCACAAAAGCTGATGTCAGCTGGACCCTTGATCTCTGGGGATGCTGTAAGTGGTACCATAATGATTATTATTTTTACCACTTCTGATGCCACCTCATGACTGAAATGTTATCTAAAAAATCCAAGTTGCAAAATTATACATTTGCAATGTAGGCTAAGGTGGACTTTCTGTCACGTTACCTCCATGGAATTTGCAAAAGCAGGTGTGAGCTGAGCTTCATTTGGGAAGAGAGCTCCATTCTTCTCCTGCTCCTTCTTTTCCTTCTCCCTTTTTCTTCTTTTTCTCCTCCCCTCCTTCTCCTTGTCCTCCATTTCCACGACATTCTCCATTGCCAGTTACAGTAGTGAATAGGAATTTTCTTGTCTGTAGATTCAAAGAAGTATGACCCATATAGATGTTTTCTTTTCTCAGTCTAGTAAAATGTTCTAATGGATATCAGGCATTGATTAGGACACATGCGGACTCTCCTGTTCAGGTTGTATACGAGCCTTTGACGTCAGGGCTTTACGAAAGCATGTTCTCTCAGGCGACTGAATTGCTCTGTCCGGAATTGAATCAGGACACCTGAGTGCTGGCCTCAACTCTGCCATGAGACGTCTGTGTATCTTTGGGCCACTTTGACTCTCTGTGCTTTGGGTTCCTCGTATTTAAGACGGAGAGCTTTCTATTTTCCCAACTCTGTAACAAAGGCAGGGAGGGCTGTTGTGTCTCAGTATCCAAGGCATTTGGGAAAGCTGGGTATTCACATGCACAATGTGAACTTGTCTACATTTGGGAGCCAGTAAAATGTGGGGAGGGATCACACAAGAAACCTGATGCTGAACAGCTGGATTGCAAAATGAATGTTTTTGAAGCCAGCCACACCATTGTGAGTTTGTCAGAAGCATAGGGGGGCTTTGCCTTTCTCAGAAGCTCCCCGAAGGAGGGGTTATCCAAAGGCTTTTCCCAAAGCCTGGGTGGGGGCAAAAAGGCTTGGGGTTGGAGGAGGGTGGGTCATTGTAACAGCAACCCCCAGAGCAATCTGTGAAGGCTTTTGAGCTTTTGGGTTTTCTTCTTGGGAAGCAATTTCCACCAGCACCTCCAAAATGAATGCTCTGCTGCCTTTTGGGGAAGGGTTGATGTTTGAAGTGTTTACTAAATTATTTTCATGGCCAGTAGTTGGTTGGGGTTTTCGATTTCTTTTTGAGCCAACCTCATTATTTACATTTTCCTTGAAAATCATTCATTTCATCTAAGTTTTCCAGCTAATTAGCATATTTATGCAAAGAAGAACTTCTGAATGCACAATCATCGCTCCTTTCTTGTTCCTAAATTTGTGTATTTGTGTTACCTTTCAAAACCTTTGAATGCTAGTTCTTGTTGTTTGCCAAGATTAATTTCCTTTTTGTTCCTACTTTTCTGCGTTTGTATAAACTTACAAAGCCTCCATCTTATTTTCTTTGCATTTGGTTGAGACAAAAAGAGCCCTGCTGAATTCTCACTCTACGGCAAGCACTCTACCACAAACCATGGGGACATGCAGAGAGAGGGATAAACTTGGCTGTTACATTCGGGAAACTAGTGCTTGAAAGGGAAGGAGCAGGTGAGCACTCATGAGAGTACAGGCAGGTCTTGAAACAAAGTGCTACACCCTAGAGGCCACTAGTGGAGGGGCACCCAAGGATGAGGCTTCCTTAACTCATAAGCAAAACTAAAGTCAGGGTCAGGGCCAGCATCGAACATGAGGGCATGGCAGAGATCTTCAGGGTCAAGGAGGTGCCAGGGGATAAACAATGCAGAGACACACAATGTATCAAAGTTAGGGGCTCCAGGTTTTATCGAGCCAAGTTCCGGGACGTCAGGTTGTGAGCTCCATGGAGTCGTGAACCATGCCTTAAACATCCTTGTTTCCCCAGTGCCTGAACTGTGCGTGAGTTTTGTATTGGTGAGTGGCCAAAAGGACAGGCTTTGGAGTCCGATAGATCTGTGTTCGTTTGGCTTCATCACTTTCCACCTAAGTAATTTACTTATTGTCTCTGGGCCTCAGTTTTCTCATCTGTGAGACAGCGATGACAATAATATTGACCTCTAGGATCTTTTGTGAGGGTAAAATGAGAGGAAAGATTCGGAAGTACTTAGCAGGGTGCCTGTCACAGAATAAACATTCAATTTAGGGGTAGCTCTAGTTGTCATTACATGAGTGTGGAATGAATGGGTGAGGGACAAGTGGGCTGTAGGATGTTGGCCTATTTGGTGAGGTCACGACCCACGGCTGGGAAAAGGCTTATAGGAGCAAACCTGACAGTCTTCCAAGTCTTCCCTTATCTTGGCATCTCCTGGATGATTGGGAGGCTGACGCAATGGGGATAATCTTGAAGCATCCCTCACTTTGTGTAAATCTTGCAATCATCTTGGCTAGGCAGATGAGGACTGAATAGAACCTGGGTTGGGGTGGGTGATGGTATTAATGTGCACGTTTTTTTCAAATGTGAAATATTGCTCTCCGCACCCAGCAAGCTGTTATTACTTTGTGAGCACTGTGCTTTTGGAAAGCCATCGCTGGCAGCTTGAATGGGTAGCTTAGAACAATTAGAAGCTTTGAACACTTTCAAGCTAAGGATTGGGATAAGAATGTTTTGACTCTATGGTTTCTCCGGGGATTTCCCTCGTGTGCTGGACTAATTATCAGATGTAATTAGGAAGCTGAGAAGTGAGGAGACTATAGTGAGCAACATACTTTCCCAGGGACCCTCATTTCTTTGCGCAGAAAAGGGTTGGGGAGACTATCTCTCTGTTGTGGACAAACAGCAATGCATAGGGCACTAGAGGGTGGGAAGGATCCTGGGAACATGGTTTTACCAGCAGAGCCTCAAGCCTATGGGGACTCATTGCTCTTGATTAAATTTTAAGTGGTCAGGACAGTTTTCCCCTTCTTGTTCTTGAGGGAGGAATGGTATTCTGGGTCACTTCCATGTTCTTGGTCCATTTTTAGCAAAAGTCCAATTTTCATGGGTGGAAATCAGTTGAGAACTGGTGCCCTTCTTTCAAAACTCATGAAGTTGACGAGAAGAGCTTCCACATCTTGGTCAGCCATAGAGTCTATCTACTTCAGGCTGCAGACGACCTCTCTCATCTGCCTTGGCTTACACCTTTGGCCCCAGAGTCGGGCTAGGAGCACTCTGTCTTTGAGCCTCTGAGAAAAGGTAACATTTGCAGGGCTATCTGCTTGTGAACCTATTTTTTTAAGTTTCGTTATTTATTTTGAGAGAGAGAGCACCCAAGCAGGGAAGGGGCAGAGAGAAAGAATCCCAAGCATGGGGCTTGAACACACGAACTGTGAGATCATGACCTGAGTCAGAACCAAGAGTCAGACGCTTAACCAACTGGGCCACCCAGCTGCCCCTGCTTGTGAACTTTTATTAAAAGGGATCATGTCCACATGGTCTTGAAGTTATTCTTAATGCAATGGAAACATGAAACATGAAACATGGAAAGGCAATGGCATTTGGTATATCTTTACTCACCAGGGGCTGTGATGCAGACTATGAGCCTGGTGGCTTGACAAATGGAGATCCCTGAGGGCTAAAGATGATGGCCCAGACCTGAAGCTTTTTTCCCCTGCCAGCATGATATGATGTTTACTGTCACAAGATAATCACATGTCCATCCAATGTCTCTGCTTTCTCCGTAGGTAACCTGTCTCCATGATTTCTTTGGTGATGACGATGTGTTTATTGCCTGTGGTCCTGAAAAATTTCGCTATGCTCAGGATGACTTTTCTCTGGATGAAAATGGTATGCACAACCACTGGATATGATTGCTCTCTTATCTTCCCTCCTTCTAACCCTTAGGATTTCCATGGGTTCATATGGACCAGAGAACATCCATGCATGGACCTTCGAGGGCAAATACTGTCAGTCTTTCTCCTGTATATTTGGATACATGAGTCACTAAGAGAAAGGTTGATTAGATGTCCCAGATTCTCAGCCTCCAAACTCAATAAAACTCACTACCTGCCCCAAAAGTGACCAGATTTCTCGAACCACATATTGTGTCACAAGGGATGACGGGTGCAATCAGACTCAGACTATGAGAAGGAAAATTTGGAGTCAGAACTTGGATATTATATGTATACTTTTTTTGTAGTCAACATCCTCCAGCTACTTGGCTCATGTTGATGGTTCCATTTTAGAAAGATTTTCCACTGTGTTCTTAGTGTCAAATCTTTCCCCTCTTCCCTCTTTCTGGCTTGCTGCCTCATTCCCCCTGCTCTGTGACTCAAGATTCCAGAGGTTGTTAATCTCAGGAAGGAGGTGAACATCTGCCCACCTCCCTTTGCTTGAGTCCAAGCTCCATGTGTAAGTTAATGGCGGATTAGCTCATACAGCAACAGGGTTAGGAAATGATCCTGATGGGAAGACACATTCAAAACATATTTCCCAATTATGAGGGGTGAGAAAAACAAACCCGGTTGTATTGTAGACTTTACAAACAGCTCAAGTGACAAGGACCCTGAAAGAGGTGGCATTTCTGCTGTGTTCACTTTGAGAAGAGACAAATGACCATAAAATAGCTAAACAAACCCCAGGCTATATGCAACTTCCTACACCTTCTGCATCTCCAGCTCTGGACAGTAATCACTAAAGTCCATCAACCAAAACAAGACGTAGAACAAACAAAAATGAGCTTTCTGCTTAACTCAATTTCCAAAAAACCACTCAGTTTGTCAGAAAAGATCCCCTCATTTTTTCTGGGTAATTGATAGATCTTTAAGTAGGAAGTGACCAGAGAGTGTCCAAAGAAAAGACTGCCCTCTACCTAGCTGTGTGGTTCCACTTTGACCATCACAGCACAAGGTTGGAAAATCCATAGCGGAAAGAGCACTAGACTGGGACTTAGGAGACTTGGTTGCTAGCCCTCGCTCTGCTCGTTTCTTGCTTTGTGGTCCTAAGCAAGAGGCTTATATTCTTTGCGGTCTCGTCAGCAACGTGAGTATGGTAATTCTCTTAACGCATTAGCACAATCCGTGCCCAGAATTACCACAGTAGGGCTGCTGAGTGATCTGCATGGAAAAAGTGCCCCACACGTGTCGGACTGAGGTTGAGGCAAGTAGCAGAAACATTTGGCAGACTCCCCGATACACCCAAGAGCTTTCTGTAAGCTCTGAGTGACAGTCACTGCTGGCTCCTTTATATTCATTAAGCCGGCATAGGGTTTTATGATAACGTGCATTGAAAATAAAAAAGGGGCGCCTGGGTGGCTCAGTTGGTTGAGCGTCTGACTTCGGCTCAGGTCACGATCTCACGGTTCATGAGTTCGAGTCCCCGCATCGGGCTCGCTGCTTGTCAGTGCGGAGCCTGCTTTGGATCCTCTGTCTCCCTTTCTCTCTGCCCTTCCCCTGCTCATGCTCTTTCTCTCAAAAATGAATAAATATTTTTTTTTTTTAAAAAAAGAAAGAGTTCTGTAAATGCAAGATGGTGGTGGTGGCGGTGGTAGTTAGGAGTGCTTATTTATAAAATGGCATGACACCCCTAATATGCTTATTATAATACATGGCATGCAATGAACAATAAATGGTAGCTCCTCCTTTCTCCTTTAGATTACTCATGAATGTTTCATCTGTGTGGCTGCAGCCTCTCGGCTGTCAATCTCTTCTCCAAGGAAATTAATTAATTAGGTCAACAGGTGCTCTTCTGCGTTGTCCACAAATGAGTTGACTATTTAATAACCCGCCCAACCTGCTCTTCAACTCCTTCCCTTGTTTCCATAATCCAGGGATTTAAACACCTGGCTTAGCCCAGATGACTTTTGAAAGTTTCTCCCATGCCCCCCTCCCCAGAGCCGTTATTCCCACAGATGGTGAGGACCACCCCGTAGTCCTGAGCCATTGGGTACTTTGGCCTGTGGTGGTTACTCCAGTTTCCAGAAGTTGGTAATATGCTGAGCCCCGTTCCTCCCCTGGCTTTACTGAGCTGTGTCTTTTTTTTTTTTTTTTTTTTTACCAGAATGCCGAGTCATGAAGGGAAACCCATCGGCCACAGCTGGCCCAAAGGCCTCTCCAACCCCTCAGAAGAGTTCAGCTAAGAGCCCTGGCCCCATGCGCCGGAGCAAGTCTCCAGCTGACTCAGGTAACGACCAAGACGGTGAGTGCTCTTCTCCTAACTGTGCATGCTGACTTCATTTACAGAGGCCAATACCCTCTGCATGCAGGGCAACGCGTTCCTCGTGAATACCGCTGAGTCTCCATGATACCAATTCTATCCGCTCAGAGACTAAACCGTCAGGCTTGTTTGGACTCATGGAGACACAGCTAAACCCTGGTTCTACTCAGATGGACGCAGACCAGAAACCTGTAATGCTTTTGTCGTGTTTGTCCTCATAGTCACCATCTTCAACATCATCCAGCAAAAGCACAGTCAATGAAATAATCCAGTCACACGCCAATCTGAAACAGAAAAGCAAAATCGAAAACAAAAATGTCAAACACTTGCCACCCCGAAGTGTCAACATAGTTGAGGCACTTGAGCTTCCAATTTGACTTTGAGCTTTTTAGAAGTCAACACATAAAGAGAAACAAGATAATTCACATCATTCTCACAACAAGAGAAAAAATATGTAGGCCAGGGTCTGAAAGGAAACACAGAGATTTGTCACACAGGATTTTAATTAGTGGATAGTGAGTGATCTAAAAAATGTGGTGTATGAATCACTGCCAAGCCATGAACTATTTATCAGTCTGTGACAAGCTTAGAAGCTCGTGCCAAATGCAAATTATGCCACTAAGCAAACATTTGCTTCAGCTGACTCTTTTTTTTCATAGCATAATTTTATTGATAAAGGCAGCAGTGTGTCCTTTGAAGTTCTGGTGCAAGATCTTGCCCCCGCCGCCTGAGTGACACTGATCTGAAAAGGCAAAGGGACCCAGAAGTTCAAGTTGAGAAGCTGAGTGGAGTCATGCACAGACAATTTGAGTTCTTTGTGGTAAAGGCAATTGTATGGCCCGGAAGACTTCTATTTGTTCTCCCAAGGCTCAGTGTTCACCACGAGAATTCTTCCAGCCTGGGAACTTTGGGGCAGAGAGCACAAACACTATCTTTGCTTCCAATTGGGGCAACTCAAGCAGCCTCTTGGCGTGGAAATGCTTGTGGCCTAGAAAAACAGCCTGTGCTTCTGGCCTCACACTGCCAGGAGCATGCACATCACCGGCCATATTTTTATTCTCAGGCAGAAAGAACTGAACTCGAAGAAGCAGCACAAGCTTTTCATGCTTTCATGACTCTGCACACCCTACTTCCCTGCCCCTGGAATGCCATCCCTCTACCCTACCACTCTTCTTTGCTTGGAAACTTCTATTCATCCCTCAACACCTCAAATAGAAATAGTTTCATTCCCTGCACTATCATAGCATGTCATTCATGTATCTGGGGGTAATATTCACCATGCTGTGCTGTAAAGTCTGTATTTACCTGTCTACTTCTCCAACTAAATATTGGGCCCCTCAGGGGTCCGATGTCATGTTCATCTTGTGTCCTCAGCGCTGGGTCCTAGTAGATGCTCAACTAATGTTTGTGAATGATCAGATATGTAAAAGTACCTATTTCACCCAGCACAGTGCTAGAGACGTAGTTAATATCTAGGTAATATCTGCTAAAGGAGTTAAAATGCAAGTGTTTGCTAATGTGTTGGTGAAGCGTACAAAACAGCACATGCCCCTATCTAAGCAAATTCACATTGCTCACGCTACAAAGACTGATGTTTTAACATTCAGATTAAGAATGAAATTATAGAGAGGTGCCCGGGTGGCTCAGTTGGTTGAGCGTCCAACTTGGGCTCAGGTCACAATCTCACAGCTGGTGAGTTCGAGCCCTGCGTCGGGCTCCGTGCTGACAGCTCAGAGCCTGGAGCCTGCTTCGGATTCTGTGTCTCCCTCTCTGTCTGCCCCTCCCCCACTCACATTCTGTCTCTCTCTCTCTCTCTCTCTCTCTCTCTCTCTCAAAAATAAAACATTAAAAATTTTTTTGAAAAGAATGAAATTGTAGGAATAATACTTGGGAATCAAAAAGAATGAAATCTTGCTGTTTGCAACAACGTGGATGGAACTAGAGTGTATTATGCTAAGTGAATGGATAAGTCAGTCAGAGAAAGACAAATATCATATGACTTTACTCATATGGAATTTAAGATATAAAACAGATGGACATAAGGGAAGGGAAGCAAAAATAATATAAAAACAGAGAGGGAGACAAACTAGGTGAGAGTCTGAAATACACAGAACAAACTGAGGGTTGCTGGAGGGGTGTTGGGTGGGGGGATGGGCTAAATGGGCAAGGGGCATTAAGGAGGACACTTGTTGTGATGAGCACTAGGTGTTATATGTAAGTGATGAATCACTAAATTTTATTCCTGAAATCATTATTACACTATATGTTAAATAACTTGGATTTAAATTTTTTTTAACTTAAAAATTTTAAATTTTCAAAAAAAGAATTAAATTGTACAAATTCTAGGCAGGGTCTTGCAAAAAAAAATGGACTTTAAATGCTTGATCAAGACTCATAAAGTCTGGCAATAACTGCCTACCAATCATTTTTCAGAAATATCACTGATCATTTCTGGGATTTCTTTTTTTTTTATTTTTAGAGAGAATATGCATGTGTGCGTGTGTATGAGTCGGGGGGAGGGGCATAGGGAGAGAAAGAGCACGGAGCCTGATGTGGGGCTCAATCCCACAACCTTAGATCATGGCCTGAGCTGAAATCAAGAGTCAAATGCTTAACCAGTGAGCCACCCTGGCACCCCCTTTTCTTGGATTTATTTTTTTTGTAGTTTTTTTTTTTAAATGTTTATTCATTCTTGAAAGAGAGAGAGAGAGAGAGAGAGAGAGAGAGAGAGCATGAGCCGGGGAGGAGCAGAGAGAGAGGGAGACACAGAATTTGAAGCAGGCTCCAGGCTCCGAGCTGTCAACACAGAGCCTGATGTGGGGCTCGAACTCACGAACCACAAGATCATGACATGAGCCAAAGTTGGACGCTTAACCGACTGAGCCACCCAGGCACCCCTCTTGGATTTCTAATGTGTACTACTCATTTCGTACTGCAAAACAAATTACCCCAAAACGTAGCCACTCAAAACAAATATTTATTGTTTTATAGTTTCTGTGGGTTAGGAATTTTGGAGTAGCTTAGCCTGTGTGGTTTTGTCTGGCTCAGGATCCCCCATATAGTTGAGGTCAAAGTGTTGGTGTGGTGTTGGTGAAGTCATCTGAAGGTTCACCTGGGACTGTAGGCTCCACTTCCAAGATGGCCGTTGGCAGGATCTTCTCCCAGACAGTGATTCAAGAAAGTGAACAAGGAAGAAGATGCAGTGCCTTTTGTGATCTAGTGTCCGAAGCCACAGACCGTCACTTCTGTTTTAGTCAACTCATTAGCAGCAGTCACTAACTCCAGCCCACCTTCAAGGAAAGAAGGGTCAATCTTCACCTCTTGAGTGGGGGGTGGACCTAGTTTTAGACGGCCAAGAATTGGTGAACCTATTTTTAAGCCACCACTAACCTCTTACTTAAAAATGCTGAGGCGGCAGTAGCTTGAGGTAAATGGATTCTCTGTGGGCTGTATCCAGTTGGGTCATCCACCCCATGTGAACCGAACCATCTGTGAGTAAACATGGCTTAAACATGATTGCCAACATGCTACCTACAGAATTTCCCTTCTAGAAACTATGCATCTCACTGACTCTAAGATATTAGAAACAGAGAAGGAATATGTTAGGATTTAATGAATATTTGTCTGATTAAAAGGAATATAATAAATCCCAACCTAGGCAAAGGCAGGCAAGATCTGCCTTTGCTCTTTCACAACACCTTTGCTAGAGAGAAGGAATGAAGATATATTCACACACACAGGATAAAAAAGAGAAACCAATTCGAGGCAGGGAAAGTGGACTTTGCTTGGCAGATATCAGAATTACACACAGCCCTTGCTCCCTACTAGCAAAAACAAAAACAAAAACAAAAACAAAAAACCAAAACACCTAAAGTGGGGTTCTCAGGAGAGAGAATTTAAATCTTTATTTCAGGTAATTCATGAACATCAATGAAGCCAAATGCTGGCCTGGCCAGCCTTAATGGCAATTTCCAGAAGGTCTGAGCTCATCACAGATGAGGTGTCTAGATCTTTCACATGATTTCAGCCCCAAAGCATAAAAGGATCCATGTAACATGACCTTGTCTATTCCATGGCAGTTTAGAGCCATGTCCAGGGCATCCACTCAGTGAACATTTCACAGGGACAAAGCTGAAGTCAGGCAAAACAGTACTTTAGGTATGGTTTGGATTTGACATACCCATTTTCCCCTTCCCACTTCCACGTCACTCAGGACCATGCCAGGCTGGCAACTGGAGGGGGATAGGATATGGAAAAGGAGAGGGAAGCATCTCTGTAGGAAGGCCCAGTGACACCACTTCCCAGTTTTGTGACATGGGACAAGTTTCTTACCTTGTCTAAGACCTGGTTTCCATTTTGGTTAAGTTAGAATTTACACATCTGGAGATAAAGATCATTTTCCAATATTATCGGTTGTTTCCAATTTATAGAGTTGTACAGTAGCTTCCACAGAGTAAGGACCGTGTAACCAAAAGGATGAGCTATAGACCATGCATAGTTTTGCATCAGCACATGTCAAGGTTTTTCCAAGTTCTTAGCAAGGGACATAGGTAGGTTAATACCCATTTCACCAAAGAACAGTGGTGTTGAATGGGGCTGAAATTCTTTGTTCTTTTCTAGGACATGGCAGTACCACCATGTTTCCATCCTGTGTTCGTCTGTCTTGGATCTGGGACTTGTGGGAAGGATTCACATTTTTTTTCATTCAACCTGAGAAACTCAAGGTTGTAGAAGATAGGCCATTTCCAGGGAATTTTAACTACCTTCCTTTGAAGGCAAACGACAGCCAAAAATGTTCCTCTGCAGCAGGGACTCAAACCAAATGAAACATTGGCTCAGTTCGGGTTCAGTTAAAGGAATGTTTTGATGTTCTAGTTCATTAGAAAATATATAGGTTTGATTCTGGTTTGAACATGTTTGCTAGATTTTCAAATACTTTTTTAAGAAGAACAGAGCAATGGAGTTGGGAGAAAGCAAATATT